CATATGGCCCCGCCCCCGGCCCTGCACCCTAACGTCACCTGTGACGGCTGCGAGGGGCCCGTGGTGGGAACCCGCTTCAAGTGCTCTGTCTGTCCCAACTACGACCTGTGCTCCGCCTGCCAGGCTCGAGGGACGCACACTGAGCACGCTCTGCTGCCCATCTGGCACCCGCTGCAGGTGAGGGCCTGACCACGCCCACCAGTGAGGTCACACTGTGACGTCACTGTAGTGAGGTGACATAGAGATTGTTTGTCATAATAAACTGATGTCATTATTTGATCGTTAAATAATTCCTCAATAATTAATAAATAATCAATAATTCATCAATAGTTGTATGTGAATTATAGTTTGTGTTTACTGGTCAACTCCACCAATCAGAGGTTGAGTTTGCTTCAGAGGGGGAGGAGCCTGACAGACTGAGCGCCCCGCTCTCTGACTGTCAGGGTGTTGTGGTGAACTGTTGTGCTTCCTGTCTGTAGTGGTTCCCTCGGGGGAAGTGGATGAAGAGGATGAGACACTGCATGTGGAACCAGAACCTGAACCAGGCTCAGACCCCGAACCAGGACCAGGACCAGGATCAGCCTGGATCCTCTGGACCTGCTGCTGACGGCAGCGCCCCCTCTGGTCAGTGTTGATAAAAATAATCTGATTAATGATCAGTAAAGTGATGACACCATCAGTGACCTCTGACCTCTGCCTGCAGTCTCTCAGGCCAACATGGTCTACCTGAAGAACATCGGAGAGGGCGTGGCCGCCATGTTGAGCCCGCTGGGTGAGTAATGGCTGACAGGAAGTGATAATAATGCAGTTTAAATTCAGTGAACTAAACTGTGATGTCACGTGTGCCTGCAGGTATCGATGTGGACATCGACGTGGAGCACGATGGCCAGAGGACCAAGGTGAACCCGCCCCCTCAGAGCGGGGGGGCAGAAGGTGACGTGGAGATGGGTGGAGCTAATGAGGGCGGAGCCAGCAGCAAGGGCGGAGCCAATGAGGAGTCAAAGGTCAGTGCAGATCAATGATGCATTCAGGTGACTAAAGATAAATTTGTTATCTGGAAGCTCATTATGATTATTACTTATCGATCATGTTAAATATCAATGCATGTTTTTATTAAATTAACGATCAATAATTAGAATGACATCAGCCAATCAGAGAGAGGGGGCGGTGCTGAGTTGATCACACTGTCACCATGGAAACAGAAGTAGTCTGGTCCAACCCTGGTCTTCCTGTGCAGGTGTGCAGAGACTCTGATGAGGAGTGGACTCACCTGAACCCCCGAGAGGTGGACCCCTCCACCGGAGAGCTGCAGTCCCTGCAACCCGGGGACCAGGACCAGGAGCCTCCATCGGGACAGCAGGGTCCAACAGGTCTAAGGGAGGCGGCTCTGTACCCTCACCTGCCTCAAGGTAAGACCAGGTCCTGGTCCTGTTATATTTGTGACTGATGTCCCTGCCGACCACTGACCCTCTCTGCCCCCCCTCAGAGGCAGACCCCCGCCTGGTGGAGTCCCTGTCCCAGATGCTGTCGATGGGGTTCACTGACGAGGGCGGCTGGTTGACTCGACTCCTTCAGGCCAAAGACTACGACATCGGCGCCGCGCTGGACGCCATCCAGTACGCCAAACAGCCCCGCCCACACCAGCCCTGATGACATCATCACCTATACTCAACCAATGATTTATACTGCTGTCCCTGTAGTCTGATTACTTTCATTAATCAATACTTTAACTAATGGTTTACTGTCTCTGTTATTAATCAATACTTTATCTCATTGATTACTGTCTGTATCTTTGTTTCTGTCAATCTGACCAATAAAAACATGAAGAACTGAACCTGTCACTTTATTTTGATCAATACTTATCAATACAGTCCAAATACACCAAACTGTAGTATGAATATGTACAGTGTGAACAAAAAATCAATCTATAAATCAGCTGATCCACAGACAGCCAAAGGGTTAATATTGATCGACAGGTTGATAATCAGTCATTCAGGAAGTCGTCGTCGAAGTTGAACTCGTCTCCGCTCTGAAACATGGAGGAAACAGGAAGCAGGGGGCGGGGCCTGGAGGAGGGCGGGGTGATGACGTCATTGCAGGAAAGAGACACAGCCCCGCCCACTGACTGACTCCACCCACTGGCTGCTGGCTCCTCCTCCTCACTCACCTGACAGTCAGAACTCAGGAACTGAGCCCACCTGCTGACTGCACCAGTACCCACGGCCCTCTTACTGGGGGGACTGATGTGGGTCAGACTGG